AGTCCAGTATAGTAGTACTGGAACGAAGCGCATAAATCACGCGCGTTGCGTGTAAAACGCAATAATGCGCTCGGTAATCCGGCTGTAATGCCGGCGCGCAAAGTGTAAATCGCACACGACGCCCTCTGGCGATTCATTTACCCATCACGCAGTGTTGATTTATACGACTTTTCAGCACAAAATAATACCGATAGGAAAAAAAAAACACAACAAAACCTTCGCACTCCACGAATAACACCCAATGTTTACAATGTTGATTCAATCGATTACAATCTATTAGTGTAAAGTGCCATCCACTGACCTTCGATTCAAGTATGTGCACATATTTCCTTGTTTTGTTTACCTTCATGGAAAATTGTGCTTTGAAAACAATTTGAAATTGAGGAAAACGGATAGAGTTTAATCTTTCATTGGCCTATCTATGTCCGGGATTTGATGGTGGCAGTAGCCCGTTTGTACCCATTTTGAAATGCTCGAATGCACAGTGCGGCGGTCGCACCGCTGGCCGGCAACAATTTCACGCTTCATTTCCTCATTCGCGCGCTCCTCGCCTTCCATATTGTTATTTATTCATCGTTCAGTTATTGATTTAATCTCGTCGCGCCGGCTTCAAAGCACGCCGCGATAACGAGCGGCAACGAGCAAGCAGAGGAAGAAATATGCAAACTGTGATTAAGCTTTCGGAAGCGCTTTGCGCTCCAAGTATTTGCGCTGAAAGTTGATTAAACTGCGTTTCGATTAAGTCCCCTACACCAACAAACATGAAAACACATAATAGCTAGGCAACAAGCATCTACAACACTCTTAGCAGTCAAAAAAAATTGAATGTTATCAACGTCGTCAGCGTGCCTTGTAATGTGAAGGCAGGCGCACAAGCAACTCACAGCAATGTGCACTAATAAAACATTAAGCAATTTGTTTTTTACGCTTGGTCAAATAAACTCAAACCGCACGCGAAGCAAAAATTGTTTCCACTTACGACCCTTACGATCGTCATGACGACGCCTAAAACACGAATACTCTCTGCAAGCGGATAAAAAATTTCAATTTTCATTCCAATTGAAAAGTCCTCATCCCGCCACTTAGTGTTTATGAGCGGGCATGTGGAAAACGCAATAATTTCTTTATGGCCGCCATTTTGTATGCCCTCCCGCCAAGCAAATTATGACGCCACTAAAGCCCCAAACGGATGAAAATGTAATTTGCTCTTTGCACGGAGGGTGCTCTCGCGCGCTCGAGAACCGATTGAAATGTCAATAATAACAATTTGGTGGTCGTGCGAAAATTTCATTCAAACGAATTCAAATGCGCGCAACCTGTGAAATGAAACGAAATGCGCGCACGTGATACGAATATGCAGCGTTTTATTGTTTTCGCCCACAAAAGCTCACAAAACACACACGCGCAAAAAAAGCAGATTGGTAAAACGCTCAACACCCAATTGTTGGAATTTATTGTATTATTGGATTACATTCCGACCATTTTCAGCACCAAGCGATAAAAACTAGATTACCAAGTTTGCAATGATTTCATACCCAAAAACGGGTGTGAGTGGTAAGAGTAATTAAAACGAGCAGCTCGAGTTGGAAATTAATTTAACTTGTAAAGTTTGCTGAGAAACCCGAAGATTAGAAAGATCCAAAAGTTTTACTTTGTTATCAATTCAATTTTCGTCTACACGTGAGCCTGAGATACAAAAAAATGATAATGAATCACAAACACTCAAAACGGCTAGTATATTATTAGAAACAAAACAAAATACTTACACGTTTCTAAACAATATGGATTATCAGGTACACATTTGATATTCAAGTGGGTGCACACTCAAAAGTTTTAAATTAAGATTACATAAGTGTGCGAAACGAGCTTAAAAATAACTCCAACTTTTTCGAGATTAATCGAAGACGCCAGACATGAATAATTGTACAGATTTGGCGGCGGCGCAAGCACCTGCCGGCACGGAACGTTAAAAGTAAGTACGTACAAAAGTAATAAAGTGTAACGAACAGCTTGGCAATTATAATGGCGCGCGCACACAAAAGTTTCGGATGCTTTCAATCATGTAGTAGATTAACTAGCCGACAATGGACTTTCTTCACGACGCGACTCCTTCATTCCCTATTATAACTTGTTATAACTCATCCCGGCTTCCATTCAACGACCAGCGTCGACGCGTAGCAAACTCTCGTTTGCTTTCCCATTTTTCGCTACTTCCCTATTTTATTTCAAGCGATTTCTAGCGATTCTTGCCATTTTCATCCGGTATAATTTTCCACTTTTTTTCGAAGGGTGTAGTAAGTCTGGATGAGGATGAGAACGTGGATGATATTCGTAGAATGTGGGGATAAAATGAAATCAAAAGACTTGAGTCGCACTCGCAGTCACGTCGTTAGGTTATTACGATTTCAACCGGTCGCCTGGTTTTCGGCGGCGAACTCGACTCTTATGCATTATTCCGCGAGAGTCGGCCGATGTAAAGTCATAAACTAAAAATGAATGGAGAGAGCCAAGAGGAGCCAATGTAACCACTGTAACGTAATGTCGGATGCAGTGCCAAGCGTAATATAATCATAGATGAATGGTGGCCAACAAAAAAATATTTTATTTCCAAAACGTGGTTTGATATGTACTAAAGTAGATTTATCCTAAAATCTACAAAAAAAAACTGGATGCAACGCAATATAAAGTAATGTATATTAAGTTGCCCATCTACATATAGATATATTACAGCGACTAACCTAGTTTAGTAAAATGGCGTCGCGTTGCAATATGGCAGACTTTTTAGATTTATCTATTTCTCGGTTGAGCTGCGCGCCTGAAGGTGATATCCGAGAGTGAGGGCACAAAGTGATGATGTTGATTGATGTTCGTAATAAATATGATTGATGATCGCGAACTGCACGCGTCTTATCCGCTTCTATCTGCACCGAATGAATCGTAAAAATAGATATATGGCTTCAACTCCTACCTCTGACTACCAACTCCCTCGCATAGATAAAGATAATAAATGCATTTATAAAATTGAAGAAAAAAGTATAAACTATTGAAAGTTGTTGGTACATTTGTGTAATACAGATTGCAATGAGGTTCAGTGACCATCTCTTGTCTTGTTGTCGCTAGCGAAGCGACATCGCCACCGAAATAATCGCGACGGCCGCCGCCATTGTGTCGATTAACGTCAGTCAATTCTTTTCAATGAACGCCGGCCTCCTCCACGAACGCACGGTATGCGCACAGCGACCAGATGAGTAATTGTGGGAATATCTGGCGAACGAGCAAGCGAGCGCAACAAGTGTGTGTGCATAGCGGTACATCGGCGGCGGACGGCCGAAGAGGTGACAACGCAAAAACGACCTCGTACCACTCGGTGCCAAGCGCCGCGCCGAAGAGATCTCTCGCTAATGTCTAATCCAAACTGAATGTATCGAATGCTGTGTGTGCCTGTGTGGGTCAATGAATTTTCGTGCATAAAAACGCTCGCACGTCACGTGCTAATTAACGCGAGTGTCTTGGGTTTTGGTTGGTGGCGCGCGACGACGACGACGACTCCAGTCGAGTCAGGATGTGCTCAATCAGCGGGCAACAATGCTTGACCTGATTCATTGAGTTGTCTTTCAAACTCCACTCTCCATGATGATAGAATACCTACCAGAGAGATACAATTTCTAAGCGGGTCATAATTTCTGGTAACCACATATAAAGCACTTCGATACAGCAGGCAGCATTTAAAAATAAATCATAATTTGCGATTGATTTACGTGACGACGTGACGGGTCGTTTCCTCAATTCGTATAAATTGCCTTTCTTCGGGCGTCCGCTATTTTACTTCCACTTGGCTACTTCTATTTACTTCTTTTGTTGCGACTTGCGATCTCTCTCGAGGTGTCTTGGATATTTCTGCGTATAAAATAATAGCTTCTGTTCTGGTGTGGTCAGTGACCCACGCCGCAATTCATACGACACTCAATTTCCATGATATAATTCCGCAATTTTTCCTCGTGTTTTTAATCCGGCATTCGGATCATCCGAGTGTGAATGCACACGGTCGCACCTTTCTCGGCGCGAGGAGGCGCAAAGAAGTTATCGGTGGAAATATGTGAAATAATCTGCGCGGCGGAGCATTAAATTGCTTCTCATTGTTTCCGCGTCGGGAGTTAATAGACCGCCGACGAACGCCCCGAGGGTTTCGGAGGGCGCAGCAGCCGTGCGCCGTCATCCCCATCGCGACGCGTATTCAACCCTCGCTACGACTGCCGAACATCCGACTTCGTTTCTCAGATGTAATTGAAACGAAGCTGTCTTCCGACCGTGGATTACGCTGCGCGTTTTCTTTTGCTGATTTGCCATTCATTGCAATGAGTTCTTTTTTTTTTTGTTAAGAAGACTAAAGATAAAAATGGTAAAAATAACGAAAAATGAAGGCGAAAAACCAAAAATCATATTTCACCATTTTGGAGTGAGTCGCTCATAATGACTTGCCAGCGTTGCGCACAAATTGCGAATAAATTCGCTTGTTGGAACAGACTGAGCGCAAAACCATCGAGCGTAAACTCCACCAATCTCCACTAACGCAGGCTATGAATGAAGACACAAGAGATGACGCAGTTTATGCGAGGAAAACATTGAATTACTGCACCACGAGCAACGAAAAAAAGAGATAAACATCTACAAGCTTTGTTCACTCATTCATTCATAATTTTTGCAATTATTATGTTATTAAATATTTCAAGTGTTTGCACATGCTTGAGTTCAAGTACGTCCGACACTTTGATAGTGCCTTTATCAAAAACTTAAAACTTAGAATTCATTGAGTATAAATAGTGCATAGAATGACATTACAATCATTCAGCAAATTAACTCCCTTCTAAACTTAAATGCAAATCACATAAATTATTAATCATGAAGGTTTTTTATTTTCTTCGCTGTGGTTCTTCAGGTATCCTTAGGTTTGTAAAAAAAATATAGCAATTGATATTCCTCATTAACTATGTTCATTTTCCATAGCGCTTCCATTGATAAAAGATGATCGAATTGTGGGTGGTTATCCTGCAAACCCCGGACAATTCCCACACCAGGTCTCTCTCCAACTGAATGGTCAACATGCCTGTGGAGGATCCATCATTGCATCCAACACCATTTTAACAGCAGCTCACTGTGTTTATGGGTATGACCAATATAATATTGCCTAATATAATATTAACTCTGATCTTCTAGAATGTCTGGTCAATTGTATGTCCTGGCTGGAGTTACCGACCTCAATGAAAATGGTATTCGTATACCTGTGGCCCAAATTTTGATTCACTCCAACTACAATCCAGACACTGTCCTCAATGACATCGCCCTTCTTCGTCTGTCTAGCCAGCTTCCTATTGAGGTTATATTCAAATCGTCCTGCTCCGATTCCAAGCCGCCAATCCAGGAGAAACCCTGATATTAAGTGGTTGGGGACGTACTTCCTATCCCGGTAGTCTACCTACGCATCTGCAGTGGATTCAGCTTGCTGCTTTGGACCTCAATACATGCTCCCAGCTTCTAACTGGTTCTACTCCTATTAGTAATGGTCATGTCTGCACTACCTCACCAGTGAACCAGGGTGCTTGTCAGGGTGATTCTGGTGGTCCACTGATTGACGCGCAGGGCGGGCAGATTGGTGTCGTTTCATGGGGCATTCCATGTGCAAAAGGATATCCTGATGTATTTACCTCTGTGCCGTTTTATTTGGATTGGATTGTGAACAGTCCCAAGACTTTTGAAAAAGTTATTATTAACCAATAAGTGTAATTATTACTGTTCATATTGAATAAATTCTAATTTAATAAAAATTCAAAATAATTGAAACTAAACTGCCCCTTTGCAGACAGTAGACACATTTCGTATAATCTAAACGTTTTAATTCAGTTCAAATTGAAAACTCCTGGTATTTTAAAACTTTTAATCTGTAAACACTTGGGTAATGCAACAACAATTTTATTTTCGTGCTTATCTTTGTGTGCAATCTATTTGCATAGAAATTATTAAAAATCTTTGAATATTCAGTTGTTATTATATAAATAACTTCACTATTTTTCTATATATAATGTCGCGAACTTTCTCTAGTTTAAACTACAATATGAAAGCCTTCACTATTTTAACAATACTTCTACCAGCTTGTCTGGCAGCACCATCATCAGTGGAATCCAATAATACCACCAGTTTAAAATCCAGTGAACTATCACCAGATAATGGGAGAATTATGGGGGGTGCAACCGCACCAAAAGGAGCCTTCCCATATCAAGTCTCTCTAAGAAATCTAGAGAACAAGCACTTCTGTGGTGGTTCCATCATTACCGCAAGACATGTTCTTTCAGCTGCTCATTGCTTCGTCGGGTAATGAAAAAGTTTAACTACAATTTTTTTAACGTTCATTTGATTTGATTTTTCTGCATATATTGCATAGAGCTAGCCCTGACAGAATCATAGTAGTCGTTGGGACTAACCTACTGAACAAAGGTGGCTTTACCCACAAGGTCGAAAAAATTGTATCACACGAAGGATATGTTAAAGAAACCTATTTAAATGACATCGCAATATTGACCGTAAATCCCAGATTTAATATCAACGCACCAGGCATATCAATTGTTCCTCTCGCCAGTAGAAGCCGTGTTGTCACTAACGGCGAGAAACTATTTGCTTCGGGATGGGGCTTCGACGACTACCCAAAAGAAGATTCGCCGAATAGTATGCAATATATTCAATTGACAGGAATGGATGCGGCAACATGCGCCTCCAAGATGCCAGGGTCCCCGATTAAAAGTGGTCACATTTGTACCCAAGATCAAAAAGGTTTAGGAACATGCATGGGAGATTCGGGTGGTCCTCTGGTAGATGTTGGAGGGTACAAGTCGGCATTGTATCGTGGGGAATTCCTTGCGCCCAAGGAAAACCAGATGTTTTCACTTCTGTGGCATACTATAAACACTGGATCGAAGAAAAACAGAAGACGCATAAACCTAAACCTAGTATGTACTTAATTTTGCCTTTTGATTGTAAACCACTTGTAAACGTGCCCGAAAATAATTTGATAATCAGGCTCTAATAAAATAAAATTTAAAAAGGATAAGGAGCCAGATTGAGATCCATGCGAATTACAACCCAAAATACTTTCTTTTTGGGAGTTATACAAATTATCCCGCTCTGATTCCAAACCGCCAATCCAGGAAAAACCCTGACATTAAATGGTTTGGGACGTTGTTCCCACCCGGTAGTCTACCTGGATCTGCAGTGAATGCAACTTGCTGCTTTGGACCTCAATACATGCTCCAGGCGCGCGCCTAGGGCCCCGGCTGCCTGGGGGGCCCCGGTTGCCTGAGGGGCCCCGGTTGCCTGAGGGGCCCCTGGCACCATATGTCCCATATAGACATAGTAATTCCACAAATACTTCATCAGTTGGTTTTGACCTCAGCCTTTATGAATAGCGTATTGGTTTCACTTGGCGCCCAAAACGGCATTTCACACGTGTCCGCAAAAGCAACCGTCACGGATATATAGCTGACTTAAAACTTTTATCTCCGATTTTATTTCTTTTATGACAAACTGTTTAAAATAAAAGTTTGATGTTTTCTACCACGAATTTTGTGACCTTTTCTTGAATATTGCATTAGAAAGTTGTAGCTATAATGTGCGAGTATATTGTCAATTTTTAAATTTCGAAACATCTGTGGAGGAGATGAGTTGAGTGAACATTCCATTGAGGTTGTAAATAGCGGGGTAACTCTTTTTGGAATATTAATTATTTCGTCTTTCTATCATTTTTCACATCATTTTTATGGCTTAGATATCACAAACTGTAGGGCCAATCTTATGATACCCAAGTAACATGTTCAAGTAAGTACAGTGGATTACAGGCACGCATGAAACAACATTCCAAATCAGCTGAATCTATACCATGTGGAAGCCATTCTTAAATTTATTGGGCATACTACAGCGAATCTTGTTCTGAGCATTACAGTATTTATATGTTTATGCAAAATATATATTATTTTCTTCTTTTGCTGCATCAACAAGACGGTGGAATATTTTAACCGAATGCATGAAAGATAAGAATTCTGGGTAAAAGTATCAAGAGAATAATTGATATACGATGGTCCGCAAGAGCTGACGCTGTTTTGTTTCCTAAGACTAAATTATCATGACATTTACCAATCCTGATAAAGGTAACTATTACTCGAAGGGGCGATGTCTATATAAAACGATAATCCCATCGCGGATAGTATGGCAGAAAATTTTACATGTGATATTTCGATCGGTCCTGAAAACAATTAACGCACAACACCTGGTCCATCGCGAAGAGCGAATCGGAAGATAATCCATTAAATTTTAGAATAGTGCGTGTGGATTAGGCCAACTGGGGATACCACGATAAGAAAAAACGCGCCACGTACTCTACCTCAAGGTGGTGTGGAAATGAGTTTTTGGCACAAACGAATGTTGAAGTAGACTTTGCGGCGCCCGTACGCTAAAACTATTAATTTTACTGGGCTACTTGATTTGCGCCTAGGGCCCCACTGAGCTATAATCCGCCACTGACATGCTCCCAGCTTCTAACTGGTTCTACTCCTATTAGTAATGGTCATGTCTGCACTACCTCACCAGTATATCAGGGATCTTGCCAGGGTGACTCTGATTGTCTATTGATTGACGCGCAGGGCGGGTAGATTGGTAGCGGTTCATGGGGCATTCCATGTGCGAAGAGATATTCTAATGTATTTACCTCTGTGCCCTTTTTATAATTGGATTTTGAGTCGTCCGAGAGCTTTTGAAAAAGATATTATTAACTAATAGGTGTAATTCTTAATGTTCATATTGAATAAATTATAATTTAATGAAACAATAGTCAAACCAGGCTTTGCCTAATATTCCCTTGCGCATGATGGCATTCATATATTAGTATTAATGGGTATTTGTTCATGCGCCTAGCTATCGTATGAATATTAACAATTTCTTTATCTATAGCTACATAAATGTACATAAATAACAGGGTCTCCCAAATGGTTTTGCACAAACTGCAATTACACCTAAAATAAAACGACAGACCACAAGTTAGTCAATGATGTTTAAATTAATTCGGATTGCATCATTGGGAATTTTTAATTGTGCATGTCACGTAAACTAAAACCACAATCCTGATCAATCACTTCAATCCTGAATCTTCGAAAAATTCTCATATTCAAAGCATCAAACTTAATATTAATGAAAAATTAACATAAAAATGAAAAATATCTGACTTTGCAATTTGGCAGAGATTAATTTAAAAATAAAAAATATATAAAACACACCTTTTTCGGTGTGCTTGCCTAGTTTTTAAAATAATCGCAACTTTACAGACGGTAGACATATCCCGCATATTCTAAACGTTTTAATTCAATCCAAGTTGGACACCCCTGGTAAATTAAAACTTTTAATCTGTCAACACTTGGGTAACGCAACAACAATTTTATTTTCGTGCTTATCTTGTGACAACCTTGTGTGCAATGTATTTGCATAAAAAATATTAACAAATTTTGAATATTCAATTGTTATTATATAAATAACTTCACTATTTTTCTATATAGGTACCGGTCCTTTTCTAGTTTCACCAACAATATGAAAACCTTCACTATTTTAACATTGCTTCTACCAGCTTGTCTGGCTGCACCATCATCGGTGGAATCCAATAATACCACCGGTTTAGAATCTAGTGAACTGCCAACAGATCATGGGAGAATTATGGGAGGTGCAACCGCACCAGATGGAGCCTTCCCTTATCAAGTCTCCATTAGAACTATAGACAACAAGCACTTCTGTGGTGGTTCCATCATTAGCGCAAGACATGTTCTCACAGCAGCTCATTGCTTCAACGGGTAATGAAAAGCTTTAACTACAACTTTACAACGTTGATCTGATTTCTCTGCACATATTTCTCAGAGCTAGCCCTAGCACCATCATGGTAGTCGTTGGGACTAACCAGCTGAACGCAGGTGGCACAGGCTACAGGGTCGCAAGAATTGATTCACACGCACAATATAATAGCGAAAACAATTTAAATGACATCTCCATAGTGACGGTAAATCCCAGATTTAGTGGCGCCACACCAGGCATAGGACTCGTTCGTCTTGCCGGTAGTAACCGGGTTATCGCCAACGGCGAGAAACTGATGGCTTCTGGATGGGGCTTCGACAACTACCCAAGCGAAGTTTCGCCGAATAGAATGCAATATATACAATTGACTGGAATGGATGCGACAACATGCGCTGCCAAGCTGCCAGGGTACCCGATTAGAAGTGGTCATATTTGCACCGAAGCTCCAATAGGTCAAGGTACATGCATGGGAGATTCGGGTGGTCCTCTGGTAGATGGCACAGGAAGACAAGTCGGCGTTGTATCGTGGGGAATTCCTTGCGCCAAAGGACAACCAGATGTTTTCACTTCTGTGGCTTACTATTCACGTTGGATCCAAGATATAACAAAGGAAACATAAACCGAAAACATGTTACTCATTTTTGCATTTTGATTGTGAACCACTTGTAAACGTGCCCCGAAAATAATTTGATAAACACGTTCCAATGAAATAATATTTAAAAAAGAGTAATTATTTATAAATCGCATTTTGGTGCAATTGTTTTGATATGCACAATTGAAGTGCCCGCACATGTGTCTATATGAATGGAGTAAACGAAAACCCAAACAAAACACTCACAGCAAACACATTTTCTCAATGCTCTTATCGCACTTTTTACAACTTTAAAACTTACTTATAGTATAAATAGAGATGTAGGAAGATGCAAAATGCATACAGGTAGTTCAACTGCACATAGAAATATCAAGTCGCCACTTTTACAAATAAGCAAAATCATGAAAGTTTTGATTTTCTTTGCTTTGGTACTTCAGGTATCCTTGGGTAAGTAAAGAAATAAAACTAGCATGTATCACTATTAACACTTATTGAAACCTCATAGCTCTACCCATGGAGAAAGAAAACCGAATCGTAGGCGGATATCCTGCTAGTCCAGGTCAATTTCCACATCAGGTCTCTCTCCAACTCAATGGCCAACACGCATGTGGTGGGTCCATCATTTCACCCTACACGATCCTCACCGCTGCTCACTGTGTTTATGGGTAATATTCTTTTTTTCACCCGTTCAACTTTATATTATATATAAATTTCGCTCCATAGAGTATATGATCAATTGTATGTCCTCGCTGGTGTCACTGACTTAAATGAGAATGGTGTCCGTGTGGCTGTGGGCCAGATTGTGATCCATGCAAATTACAACCCAAATACTTTTCTTGATGATATCGCTATTCTGCGTTTATCAAGCGCACTACCAATTGAGGGATATATTCAAATTGCTCCCCTTCGAGGTCAGGGAGTCAACCCAGGAGAAACTCTTACTCTAAGCGGTTGGGGGCGCACTTCTTACCCTGGCAATCTTCCCTCGCAGTTACATTGGATTCAACTGGCTGCAATAGATTTGAATACCTGCTCCCAACTACTAGCTGGTTCAACTCCTATCGGTAACGGCCATGTCTGCACATCATCACCAGTAAACGAAGGATCTTGCCAGGGTGATTCTGGTGGCCCATTGATTGATGCCTACGGAAATCAAATTGGTGTCGTCTCGTGGGGAATCCCATGTGCTAAAGGATATCCTGATGTCTTTACTTCAGTACCATACTATTGGAACTGGATTGTACAAAGTTCCAAATCATTGGAAAACGTTCACATTGTAAACTAATATTGTTAATTATAAGTTCATATTGAATAAAATTTAGATATATACATTACTAGCGACCTGCCCCGGCTTCGCACGGAAGTAAAATAACCGCATCAAAATCCGTTGCGTAGCTTCAATGATTTAAGCATACAAAGAGACAGACAGAGAAAGCGACTTTCCTTCTCCAAACAAAAACATCAACCGGTCAACTTCCAGCCCACGTACACACATACACGTATGCTTGGAGGAAGCTACGAAACATCACTGGAAATAGCAGACGGGAATAATCGAAACTTTGTATTTACATCACATTAGAAACCTCCAAAAATAGCAGTACTTCTCCACTATTTAATGGATATTTATTATACATATAAAACCTTCCCTCTTGAATCACTCTATCCTATTAAAAAAAACGGCATCAAAAATCAGTTGCGTAGTTTTCAAAGATTTAAGCATACAAAGGGACCGAAAAAAGCGACTTTACTTTATACTATGTAGTGATGATGTGATGATTACGCTTATATGTAGCCTATTGTGATGATAATACTGAAGTTTATCATTTATTATCACGACAAAATATTGCAGTACACTTCAACACCTGTATATTCCAACGTAAAATTCGTTGACAAAGTCAACTTGCAGTTGTACAATAAGTCAACAAAATAATTGACCATCGCCTTAATTAACATTAAATAAGTACTTAAAGCAACAATAATAATAAAAAAGTTGATTTGTCTCATTTGAATAATTTATATTCCTTTTCAAAGCATCAAATCATAAAAACGTAGATTAATGTTATGTAAACTAAAAAATAAAATAATTTATTGCGTGCATTAAAAGGTAAATACGCTTGCCTTACCGAATATGCCAGAATAATTATTATAATGAGAAAAAATTATTCATTTTGATTACAATTACCCGACGCAATTTTCTACACTATTTACCGAGTTCAAGAGCGCATACAAATTCACGAGTGATTAACTGCAAATGAAACGTCAACGTGGAAACCGTATCGAAACAGTCGACATTAATTTTATGAATAATAATAGAGTGAAGTAAGTACCTATTATTTATAAAAGGAAAACAAAGTGAAGTGGGCAACTTTAAAAATATGCGTGATTCTATTTTTACTGCAATGTGGATAATTGTAACTTGATACACGAATAAATTGTATATTTCGATTCATTTAGCAGTATTTCTACCGATAACGTCTAAATAGTAATTAAAATCATTAATGTTTGTTATGGATTGATGAATTGACGTTGGTATTAACTGCCCGATAGAAAACTTAATTATGCATAACACAAACTGTTCAAAGTATTGAATTTATCTATAACATAAAAACAAATCGCAAAATGTGTTGGTAAGCGCATAACTCAACAACGCCTAGACCAATTTGGCCAATTATTTTATTAAAATGTTCGTTAAAGCCCAAGGATGGTTTTCTCGACGAAAAAAAATCGAATAATTGTCGGGAAAATCCCAAAGACATCTCTTTTCCATAGGATAACAGTTGGCATTGAGATTTAATCATAGTTATAGTTAAATAGTTGAATAGTTGATAGTGCATTGTTAGCAATTCTTTATATAATTAATTACTTTAAAATGAAATTGCGAACCTATACTACCGGGACGAAGTCGCGGGCAAAAAATCAATTACAAACATTAAACCACAATTAAAATCAACATATAAACAATGATTCATTCAATGATTTACATGCATACAAATATGTAAAAACATATGAAATTAACTTTTCCGAATGTTTATTTCGGTTTTTACTGGCTTCACGGCCAATTGAACCGATAACAAACCACTTACTATAATCCTGATTACTGAATTGAATGAATATTATATGGAAGCCATTCAAATGGAAATAGAAATAGATTCTACGAATACAAATTCGTATAAGTGTTTTGATTGATCATACCTGGATACCGATGTTGATCAAAATAGATTGATGTGATTACAATGGCTAATCCTAAACCTAACGGTACAATCACACCTTGCATGTTGACCAACAGACATTCGTAAATGGCAAGTCATGGATAACCACTAGCATCATTTTTAAATTACAAATATAAATATCAATTACAATTAATTATAGGAGCAGTTTTTTAAGTGCAGTAATTTAGGTTATATAAGACTTATATTCGTCTGAGTGAATAAATTTAAAAAGCGTCTTATCCTGTTCCATCAACAAATATTTGGCGCATAAACAAAACAATCATTTATTTAAAAAGCGTCTTATCCTGTTCCATCAACAAATATTTGGCGAATAATCAAAACAATCATGTATTTACTACTTACTATTATTGAATACTAGCGACCTAAGCCCTGGCTTCGCGCGGAAAAAATAGCATCAAATTTCAAAATCCGTTGGCGTAGTCTTTTTCAATGATTTAAGCATACAAAGAGACAGACAGAGAAAGCGACTTTCCTTCCAAACAAAAACATCAACTGGTCAACTTCAACCCACACGTACACACACATACACACGTCTATGCTTGAGGGGAAGCTACGAAGCATCGCACAAATAGCAGACGGGAATAATCGAAAACTTTGTATTTACATCACATTAGAAACCTCAAAAATAACAGTACTTCTCCACTATTTAATGGATGTTAATATACATACAAACCTTCCTCTTGAATCACTCTATCTATTAAAAAACGGCATCAAAATCAGTTGCGTAGTTTCAAAGATTTAAGCATACAAAGGACCGAAAAAAGCGACTTTACTTTATACTATGTAGTGATGATGTAGTGATTACGCTTATATGTAGCCTATTGTGATGATAATACTGAAGTTTTATCATTTATTATCACGACAAAATATTGCAATTACACTTCAACACCCTGTATATTCCAACGTAAAAATTCGTTGACAAAGTCAACTTGCAGTTGTTTGTTTCCTGGACCATCAGTCCAATTGGTCAAAATCTATGCCAGCGAAACTCAGGTGAACCGCTTATCGATGACAAAAGGAAATCCAGACAGTTTCACTTCTGATGCGTGCTTTTTCTTCGTAGATTCGTAAACATTCATGAGCACAAACATTACAAAAATGTTTTAAATTATCAGTAAGATTAGATTCGATTATGAAAGATTTAAACTAATTGTTTGTTTTTTATCTTAATAGCTCTAATATTTTCAAGTTAATTTTGGGAGCAAAACACGTAAACCATGAACCTTGAGGCTCATGATTGCCAAAATACGTTGTTACCTTTAATCCATTAATCGATAAAAAACAACTTGAAGTAGATCGCTGATAAAAGTTGCCAAATTTAACTGTCTCTGAGTATAAATACTCATGCTCACAATAAGTTGAAGCCGAGGGAGAAGCAGGCAATTTATAAAGATGCTTCGTCCTCAATTTTTGCTTCATGCGGTACTTGTGATCGTATTGGTGTTGATTATCATATGCTATACACTTGCACTGCCAGCCAAACATCGCATAGTGGGTGGTAGTACGGCGAGCCAGGGCCAATTCAAACACCAAGTGTCTATACGAAACAATGGAGCTCACTTTTGCGGAGGATCCATCATCACTCCAACAACTATCCTTACAGCGGCTCACTGCGTTCACGGGTAACAATGCAAATCCCTTCATGTATTAATACTGTATTTGTAACTTATTATTTGCATTTTGTCACTAGATCCAGCACAGCTGGTATGACAGTAGTCGCTGGTTCCACGTCGTTATCCCAAGGAGGAGTTAGCGTGCCAGTGGCGCAGGCTTTGTACCACGCTGGATTTGATCCCAATAGCCTTTTGAACGATGTCGCCGTCCTGCATTTGGCCAGTCCAATCCCACTTGGCGGAAATATTCAACAGATTCAACTACGCGGTTCGACGGTATCAGGTGGCGAGCGACTTACTTTGAGTGGTTGGGGCCTGACTTCGTACCCTGGTGAAATTCCTAACAATCTACAGTACATAAATCTACAAGCTATTGAAATTGCAAGGTGTGCTCAGGAATTGGCGGGCTACAGTCCAATTGATATTGGACATGTTTGCACTACCTCTCCTGTCAACCAGGGTGCTTGTCAGGGTGATTCTGGTGGACCTTTGATCGACGCTAGTGGTTACCAGGTTGGTGTCGTCTCGTGGGGTATCCCATGCGCCAAAGGAATGCCGGATGTCTTCACATCTGTTGCATACTATGCAGACTGGATCGTACAGAATGCCCAATTTGACGAGAAGATGATTGTCGATGATGAATAAAAAAACTGGGGCATTTTAATTGCATATTACGTAAAATTTCTTTCAAATAACAATCACTTTTATTTTTAATTAATTTTGTCAATGAATAAAAATTAGCAGCTGATTACCGCCTATGAATAAATTTTATTTTCCAGCACAATCATCCAAATTTGCTTCACCGCCCCCGATCCGCAACTTTTTTTTCAAAAGTTTTAAACATAAAGCACCTTATTAAATTTAAATTAGTATGGTGTACCTACTTCAGACAGAGTATGCATAAATTATGTAACCTTCGAGCCCAAAATTTGCATTTTCATTTTCGACATTGCAAATTCAGTCACATTACCACACGAACCTGATTAAACAACCTTACAATGTCCCCAGACTTCAATTTTTACGAACTATTCCCTCTTCAATTAGAACAAACAGTACCTGAAACAAAAAGAAATATACATTATTATGATTGCTTTACTTTAATTTAAGATAATTCAATAAACTGGGTCAATATTTGATGTGATTTATTTTCCTCTACCTATACTACTAATGTAATTAAAATGTAAATGAAAAACGGTTTGAATTCCTCGATCGCAAGTGCATAAACCCACTCAAAGCTGTCAAGGCTGATACGGCTGCAATTGATTACGACTTTGCGTCTCGTTAACCTTCGATTTTATTGTCGATAATTTACCGCCAAAGCACGATCGTTTAATATTTATCTCGCGACGTGATTAGATCCACAGCGTTATCTCATCATATTTCACACTATTTCACAACTGCTATTTTCCGGGCGTGACGTGGCAAAATTCAATTTCCTGGCAAACATTAAATCTTTGATTGTTCCATTTGCTTTTTTGTTCCCGGAAAGTTTTCCGCACATTTTTTCCACGATGGTGCAAGCTTGCAAAGTGTAAAGATGAGAAAGAACAGCAGGAGCGGCAAGAGGTTGTATGCTGTAATAGTTTTGAGAGTTGCCAGAAGTTTCTTCTTCGCACTTGCAGAGGAGACTACTGCGCCTGCTTGGTGTGTGCGCCTGATTACTATCAATTCCGTTTTGTTGCCTCGTTTTGTGCGCGCCGGCATTCGGGAAAATTGTGTGTCCTTAAACAACCGACAACCGACTCGCGCTCGACATCAAACCACCCTCGACGCGATATAACTCGCCCGCCTGTCGTCAGACGTAGTCAGTTTTATTTGAAGATTCAAAAAATGTCTACTTTCCAAACTCACAAAGTTTCAAGCGTAGAAATTGTTACAGTACAGTGTAACAAACACATACTAACAAAAAAAACTAGTGATGATTACAGATACTTTCAACAATTTCAAGTTATTTTCATTTGTTTTAACTGTGCATTGCATGTGCATTTCAAAGCGTATTTTTAATTAAATTCTCCACCATTTCGAGAGCATTTACGTAAGCAAAGAATGTAAGAAAATTGTCGATTGCAACACGGGAATGTGCCAGTAGCGTACCTACTCAGCGCATATCGGTGACACCGGCGTCGCTCAGTTTCGACATTTGTATACATTACGCAACGTGCAGTTAACGACCTTCCGTCGGTTTTTCCGCCTCGAAAAAAACATTTTCATCCCCGCGCAACCAAAAAAAATGGTAAACTCTTCGGTTTGCCGCTGGTGCCCTTCGCTTGCCAGTTTGGCACTTAATCAACGTGGAAGTTTATAAAAAGCCGGCGACGATGAGCGGCTGAGCAAAACGACGAAAAGACAAAAGACGTACGACACAAAAAGACGCTGCTAACGATGCTAGAGCAATGACAAAAAATATCCAAGACAAGAGATGCAGGAAAAAAACGAGGAGTGGAGTAGACTGATATTAGTGGCGCCACCAGTCATGATACATAACCAACAAACAAGAAAATCACAGTACATAAAAATGCAAAAATATTACTTTTTTCGCGCTATAGCAATAATACACATACAATTTTTTAGATTTAGAGCAAGGTCTGTCCTGGTTTCGGATCGTCAATCTCGTGCAATCTCACGTCCAATGGCAGGACACCGCGATTCAATCACACGGAACGAACCGTCCACGTCCTCCAAGTCCGCGCCGAATGCAGAACCTAGGCGAGCCGCGGATTCAAGTTGCGAAGGCTTCAGCGTTCGGATAACTGTAAACTACTCACGCACACGGTAGGTCATTAACCCAAAACACAGCCAACAAGCCTACAAGCCTACCTTCGGCGGAGAGCTAGGTGATTGGTGACTTTTCTTCCAAAAACCACGAGTATAAAAGCGCAATAAGCCACATTTTAGAATGTTTAGGTAATAAGACAGATGCGAGCTGATGTGGCACCTGAGCGTCTAACAAGGCAGATCTTTGTCTCAGATATAATTGGAGATTTGTGGCAGATTTCGAGAGAAGATTGCCATATTGCGAATTACGACTAAACACTGTGACCAAACATTGTTGCGTTGTGGGACACAGCTTGCGTAAGATAATTTCGACATGTTCGTTGTTCACATTTCCAACATTGTTGCTTGAGAATGCGAATAACGTGACAATTATTCAATAAACGTCTCTCGCATGCTTCGTCGGGACCATATTCATTACAGTTTGAATTATTTGCCAGAAAATGCCGTATATTGTACAGCATAACATTTAAATACGTACGATAAGTCTTTTACGCATGTTGACACGCAAAAAAACACATAATATAATTAAATTGTTTAATTGTTAAAAGAAAAAAAAAGAAAAACTTTTTTTTTCAAATTAACTTTTCTTTTTTAATTGAAATACAATATTTTAAATACATATCTGTTTTAGATTAAAACATAAAAAATTAATCTCTGAAATGGTACTAAAAAAAACTTTTTCGAAGTAAAAAGTTAGCAAGATTTACATTTTCATCAAACGGCGCCAGTATTTGCCAGCTAAAAGCAAAACTTCTCATTAAAATGACATAAAATTGCCCACTCGAACGCCTCCCAATGCAATTCGAAGCCATTATGCGCAATAACTAGTTGCTTAGTTGTTCGCTCGTCGCGTTAATTATAAACTTTAAACTAAATTCATCCGTGCGCGCGCGCGCAATGTTTTGTTTGCGAGTCTCTTTCATCGTCGCTCGCATTCAATCGCATTAATCCAAGTTAAAAGTTTGCCATTTCGCCGTTTTATCATTTAATTCGCAACGCGTAATAGACATATCATAGAAAAGTGCAAACGCAAACCTCGCTATAATTGCGTCTATTATCCCCCGACAAACCGAGAGCTCAAATACGGAAGACGACATTAACCGTCGTTTATATAAAATCTAAGAATTCCAGCACTCGCAAGTGGCAAAACGTCATTACACTAGCATGGAATAAGTGTGCGAATACGTGCAGCGCATGTAAGACGCTGCGCTGCGTTTCGTGCCGGCGAAGAAGCGCAATCGGACAACGAATGGGTAACGAACGAATATGACCCGATTCGTGTCCGCCGCCGCTGTGTATCTCCGCACCGTGAGAATATACTTTCACTATTACTCGCTCCTCGCGGTTAAATCATGCTCTCAGAGATGAATTCCTAAACCCACACTAGCCTAACCTAACTTAACAGAAAATAACGTACGCACACACAACCTGCAGAATAAAATTGATTTGACTAGGTTATGTCATGAATTGTTTCCCAAGTTAGGTTAGGTTATGTGTGTACGTAGCTTCACATCAATCAAAGTGATTGAAGGTGTTGAGATGGATCGACGGCGCGATGAAAACTCTGCGCATGTTAATGATGAAAACGTTTCGAAACTGGTTTCTCGAAAGAAAGTGCTGCTCAGCGCGGAGCTGGCATTTTCTAGAAATCGGCGAATTCCTAAAGCCTCAAAGTGCTCAAACACAAACGCTTCTTTCTCACCGGCAATCAACTAAAACATAGCGCACCACTACACGCATTCAATATTATTATTACAAGTGAAAATTACAAACAAAACCAGCAAGCATCCTCAGCGTTTTTTTTTCTCTATCATGGTGAAAATGAGAACAATGAAAATACAAACAATAAAAATTTTCTTCTCGCGTGCGCGAAACAAGTAAAAGCAATAATCATAAATGTTTCGTGGACGCAGGACGACACTGATTAGCAGCAAACTTTTCGAGCGCCGCCGCGCAGAGTGGATAACGACCGGAGAGCGCTGAAATTATACATTCAGACAAGTCTATCGACATAACAATAACGTTTCTAATTGCATTTTCTTGTTGTTAAGTGTAAAGAGAAAAGGAAGAAGAAGAAATCATGCGCGGTCGATAGAAAGGTTTAGTTTTAAGTGTCAGTGTCACATTTCACTAGAAATTAGTGTTTAATCTGCTAATCTACATAATATAACTGTGAATTATTTTGCTCTTCTCTAGGTCACCGGCATTAATTTTTAATTTCCGTTTGACACTCACAAACATTTATGCTGCTTTTTTTATTGATAAAAATTAAAAATTTACAATTAACATTCACAAATAACAGTGAATTTCAGTCTCGCGCAATTAATGTCATTCGATTCCGTGAACACGTGTTTCTTCGTGCGCTCTGTCCAGTTTCTTATCGAGCGTTGTTCGTGACTCGCTCGCGACTTTTTGCACGTTCATTCTTCGCTAATGAAACTAATCGCGGATTAAGTGGTTCACGGTTGAGTTTGCTAAAACGTGCAGAGTCTTCCTCACAAGATAAACTTGTAATTGATAAAATATTACAATTGTTTGTTGTTTTTATGATTAATAAATTATTGCGAATTTCAAACGGAAATAACAAAATAAGCCTATACATATATGTAAAGTTATGTGGGAATTGTAAGGAATTACAGGCCGGATTGCACGCTTAACACCACCGCTCGCATTCGCAACAAGGGAGCTGCCACAAGGGTTGTAACTCGCACCCGAACCACAAGGGAGGTGTAAAACGTCCGCGCGTTTATTAAATATGCACGCCACGTTGACGCAAATCCACTAACACGCCTCACTGAAAACTTACGAAAAACACTAGAGTCACATAAAGAAGAAACTTACGACACTGAACCCTGATTAAAACTTAAATGAACAAAAACCAAAAAAAAAGCATTAAACCAAAATCAAATCAAACCGAAGCATCTGCGTTAAATGTTCTGTATGTCTTGTGTATAAGATGGCGCTGACGGTCGA